GTTCGCATTTAGGGTTTAGGGTTTAGGGTGTACCATCTAGGACTCTAGGAGACCCTTCTTCGGACTCCTCTGGGCCCCAGGACACAAACCCTCAGCACTCCCACGGATTGTAGTTTAACATTTTGAGGTCTTTCGCTTTAGGGTTTGGGCTTTGTCGAGGCAGGTTGCCAGAAGAAACAAGGCAACCTACGCATGTTCCTGCTTCCGGAACGGAATGGTTTGGTGGTTCATTGAAGTCTAGGGCTGTCATATTTGAGGTTTACGGCTTCGGGTTCAGGATGTAGCATGTACTGCTTCAGGCTGCCGGGCCCATGCCGATCTCAAGGAAGCGCGTAAAAGTCCTAAACATCGAAGTCCGCAACCCTCCCAATAGTAAGCTATGAGCCTTAATTCATTTGCCGGTCGATACCAACTTAAGCTTCACTAAACCCGAAACCCTAAACCCCTGAAGCCCCATCCGTACAGTTCTTGGATCCACCAGAAGACCCTAGACCGCCCTGACCCTAAAATCCTAAAATGCCAACTACAAGATCCCAACACCGAAGACCCTGGCTCAGGAGCCTCTATCTCACGCCCATAGAGGTTTCAGCAACTAGTAGTTATGGCCCAGCCTCATTGCAATATGTAGCACGCACCAAAACCCTGCTCAACTCTTTAAGATACCCCTACACCCTACACCTTAAACCGCCCCATATTCAGCACCGAAGCCCCGACACGCAAAGCCCCCAATATCACAGACGCCACCCCAAAGCTGAGATCCTCAATTTGCGACTCTTACAAAAAATATCACAGCCTAAACCCTGCATCAAAAAACCCATAAACCCTAACCATGAACCCCAACTTAAAGTCCTAGACATACTGCTCCCTGGCACTACGATGAAGGGTTATCAGGTCCCTATTCAGAATACCAGTGGGAGCAGGCACTGCAGAAACGATACAGGCTTTGAGTGCATCTTACAGTAACATTCATTATGTCGGGGCTACCCTAAACCCTAAACACCAAAACCCTAAAACCCTAAACCCTAAACCCCTAAACCCCTAAACCCTAAACCCCTAAACCCTAAACTACGCAGGAGATACTCTGACTTCAAAACAAAAATCATCTCAAGGGCTCATAAGGCCTGCATCGAGCTGAAGGATCGTTCCAGGTCGCCCTGCGCCAACCGGAAAGCCTTCCGTAGAGCCTGCAAGGCCAAAAAGGGGTTTAGGGTTCAGGGTTCTGGGTTTAGGGTTTAGAGGTTTAGGGTTTAGGGGTTTGGGGTTTAGGGTTTAGGGTTCTGGGTTTAGGAGTTTAGGGTTTAGGGCTAGTGTAGAGCTCCAAGACAGAGGGTTTGGGTTTCTATACCAGATCCTCCCCTGCTTGATGTGCTTAAGCTGCCGTTGAATGTATCGCATCCCTCGAGAGATGCTCGCATGGTGGCTTCGGCCTGAAGGCGGTGTTGCATCGACGGGTCAGGAAAATCGTCGCAGTCACAGGGGGCCTCCGAGTTTAGAATCGCTCGATTAACCCTAAACCCTAAACCGTAGGGACGCAAAATCAAAGGGCGCCCTAAAAAGTGATCCCCTCTTCAACGGGCTTTTAGTTGCCGGCCCGCAAAGAGTTAACCACCAACTCCAGCTGCAAAAGAAGCAAACGCTCACATGCTGTCCCTTCCTGGGCCCAAAGCTCTTATATGGGAGATGAGCACACCGGCAATAGAAACCTTCAATCAGAGCCACACAGGCCAGGCCATATTGAAATCCCGGTATTCGTCTTCGTATCTTGGGCAACAAGGAGGGCCTCAACCTCGCAGGCCGACCCCTGAAACTCATCCCGAGGACCCTCTCAAGGGTGAGGGCCTGTAGGATTTGCGGCTTTAAGGCTTTATAGGGCTTAGGATCTGTCAGAAGCCAAACTGGGGTTTTTGACGTGCGCCATCCGGGAGTCGGGAGAGGCTGGGTCGTACGTTCTATTTGCGCATATACCCCGGCGCGGAATCAGCGCTCCGTAGCAAACGCAGACTATCCGGACACTTCAGGGTTTAGGGCCCTCAATTTAGGGGGTCGGCCCCGGGATCGCCCTAGCAAAAAGGGTAGCCTCAGTTTTTGAGGAACCCCCCCTCCTCACTCTGAGCGAAGACAAGGCTAAAAGGGCGACACTTAAACCCTAATGTAGGAACCTGATTAAGAAACCCTGGCCTGCAGCGGACTTTTAGGCTCGCGGGGCCTTGCTACGGTAAGCCAAAAAGGGCTACGGGTGACACAGACTACCACTACACTGAACAGACAAAACAAGGCCTGTACTTTCCTACACGCCTCCCGAGGGCGGCATGAAGCTCAGAGCAACTGTTCAGCTGTCCGCGATAAGGAAACGCTACCATCACGTAGCCGGCTCAAGCCCTTCAAGCGTTCAGTGCCAGGTGGTGTCTTCCCTCTGCATAGACGCAATTCAATCCTTGCAGAAGAAGCTGGATTCGAGCACGATCCAGCGGCTTGGTTAGGAGGTCTGCTAGCATTTCGTCGGTGTGCTTCTTGCCTAGCAAGATCCTCCCGGATGCAACCACGTCTTGCACCCAGAGAAAGACGGTGTCAATGTGTTTGACACGTCCCAAACCGTGACGGGATCCAATGGATAGTCCGGTGCTGGCATCCATGAAGGCCTGGATGGGCAAGAGAATGCCCCAGTCCTTCAAAGTGGATTGCTCTCCAAGAGCGTTGCGCGAACCAGATACTATTCCATAATATTCTGCTTCACCGCTCGAGAGAGCGATGACTGCTTGGCTTTTACAACCAGTCTTGATGGTTGAATCGCCAAGGCAAATACAGAATCCAGTGGTTGACTTACGAGTCCTCAGACAACCAGCGTGATCCGCGTCAACCCAATTCGTCAAGCGCTTCACGCAAGATTGGTATGGAAACAGCTGCAGCAAGCGAGGGCTGTTGCGCAAATAACGAGCACCTCTTTTGAGCATCATCAAATGCGCCGTGGTGGGGCTCTTCAAGCCCTTGGCCAGCTCCTTTGCGAGCACCTGAAGGTCTGGTCGGTCCTGTGAAAGGTAGGCCAGCCTCATGCTCACTGAGCGGTACCACGAAGCATCTTCCGAGGATAGAGGCTCAGCGTTCTCGACCTCTTCAATCCTCTCCTTCACCAAGGCAGTGGTGACCTTGGCACCCTCACAGCCAATTTCCCGCAGGATGATATCGACATGGCGAGGGTCAGCTTCTAGCTCAATTCCTCTCGAGATCCACGACACCAAGCGGTTGAGGATGTCGATGGACTGCTTGGTACCAACCATACCAGGAGGTCCCAGGTAGCCACGGACTTCGACAGTCCAGTGCTTGCCTAGCTCTTCCGCAAATCACTCGAGCTCAGGCTTGGCACCCAGACCAGTGAAATCGTCTCCGTGGACTTCCACCCGGATTTCCCGAATAGGATGATAATACAAGCAAGAATTGGAGCGGCCGCGCACAAAACCCAACTGAGTCATAACTCGCAGGATGGTCGCCTCCCAATTAGCTGGAGCGTCGCGAGTGCCATAAAGGCTCTTGCGAAGAAGTCCAACATACTTGGAGGTATCGACTCCAGTCTCCGCGGGCAGCTCAATGAGTAATCGGCGGCGAGCATCGGCCCAGAAGTGCGCTTTCTTGATATCCAGAAAGACCAAGCATTGATCCTTCGGAAGGTCGCGCATCTTCCCTTCAAGGTCCGGTGCTCTCTTGCTTGTGGCGAGGGCGAACAGAACACGCAGTGCGCTGATTGGCGGCATAGAAGCATAGAAGTCCTCCCACGAAGGCTGGTGGACATCCTGAGAGACTCCTCCAGGATACCGCTTCTTAAGCTCACGCGCAACCAGGCGGCTGCGATACTTTGGGTTCGCCTCGTCCTTCTTGTTGATGTCAACCCACCGTGTGGATATGACCTTCTCTCCCTTAGGCCTGGGAATCACTTCCCAAACCCCCATCTCTTTGATGGTTGAAACCTCTTCCTTTCGAGCCTCCTGTACAAGCTCTGGACGAAGTGGTTTCCCCGACACATCGTCCCAATAGGACGTCTCAAACTTCTCGTAGACATCTGTGTCGAACCTTTCTTCACATACAGGATAAGGGTCTCCAGCCACCGAAGCTAGATACCCAGAACGGAGCGACAGGATAAGATCTAGGACCATGTCCTCGTCGCCTCCGCCTCCTTCGTGAGGCCGCTTGGAGGGGGCCGACCGCTCGGAGGCTGGCGGCTCAGAGACCTCACGGCTCGCCTCCCGGACCGGGGCCTGTGCTGAGCCAGCACTAGAGCCTCCTGGATCGAGACGAGCTCGCTTGGCTTCTTCAGCCTTGACTTTCTTTGAAGCCTGCGCCTCCTCAATGGAGGGGCCCCCTGTAGTGGTTCGCTTGACCACCGGGACTGAAGCTTGCGGGTCTGAGCCCTCAGCGGACTCACCCACCCGAAGCCGCGACTTAGGGGTTTCCTTCAGCTTGGCCGCAGCTAGCCGTTTCTTACCCTCTTCTTCAGTCTTGGCCATTTCGGTGACGACACGGTTGCGGCAGAACTCGCTGTGGTTTACACCTTCCCTCGTAATGCCAGCGCGGATCAGATCGCAGGCCGGACACGAGGCTGTATAACCATGTCTCTCGAGATCTTGCGTCCTCAAGTAGACTCTCTTGAGGAGTTCGGGCTTAGGCCCTGCCTCGACGTCTGTGGCCACCTCGTCGGGCATCTCGGGCTCTATAGCCACGGCAGCTGGAAGCTCCAAAGCTTCGTGCGGACGTGCTGCCTTCTTGGGTGATGGCGCCCACGGCGTCCCCTTCACCTTCTTGAACAGTTCGGCATCCCACCTCAGCTCTTTCGGCTTGCGGCGGATGGACTGCACAACGACCACGCCATCCTCTGTGGCGACAATCTTCTCGGTGGTGCCCAAGCGCACCCCACAGTAAATTCCGACTTGCCACCGGGCCTCGAGTTTGTGCTTAGTGCACACCCGGTAGTCGACGGTCTCACCCCAAGCAGGTAGGGCCACGGCCCAGTCGCGCCCCTTGAGGTGCCTAAAGGGCGTAAGCCCATCTTTCAAAGTCTCGTCGTGGGCAAAAAGGGTGTACATGCAGCCAGCATGCTCCACCAACCAGCCCAAAAGTGGAGACTTGGGGTGTATCCTCTCGCCTAGGCCTTTCTCACAGGCATCCTTGTAGGTGCGGCACAGACCTTGGGTGATCTCAACAGCGGCCTCGGCTTCGCCATTGCTCTTCCCATGGTCGTCGCCCTCAGGCGAGTTCTCCAGCTGGACTCGAACACCTTCTCGGGCAGCGAACGAGTTCTTCACAGCTTCTGCGAGAGCCTTTATTGAGCTCTCCTGGTCGCTTTTCAGGACCACACTCGGGTATCCAAGAAACCGAATGTCCCGAGCCAAAGCATGCTCAGGATAAAAGTGTTCTACTCTGTTTGAGGGAACCAGGTGTGAAAACAAAGCTTTGCTCTTGCGGTCGCGGACCACCAGGACAGGCATTTGGGCGCCACCAACAGCATCCGAAAGAAGCTCGCCAAGGGCCGAAGAAACCATAGTCTATATATACAACTGGGACCTCTTCCGGGTCACCAGGCCTGTTCACCCGACGGTGCGCAAAGCTTTTCCCACGGCCTCTCACACAGTGAGAGCACCAAGCTCTGTAAGGTATATGGCTCACGTAGTGTGCCTCCACCTTTTCGGGACTAGGTAGAGCTGGGGCCCGCATAGGCCGCAGCTCTCCCTTCAGAAGACTCGGGCTCAACAGTCTCCCCTTCTCCTTCGAAAGGGTTTGTTGGGGGGGGGGGCCTGAGCCGACACGGCTCTTTGCCCCCACAATTGCAGGTCTTACAGGCGAGAGCCCCGCCCCACGAAGGGTGGGCGCTCAAGCTTAGCAGCTTGCTCGAGGTGTCCATCCACACTGGCAGGACGTAGACACCATTCTTGAGGAAGATCCGGTGCTTCTTCCCCGCCTTTGTCTCGAGGTAGCTGACCTTGGGTCCCAAGACGACCCGGTTGCCCCTCGACGTCACCTGACCGACCGACAAGAGGGCTTGAGAGATCGCAGCCACAGAGGCTTTGAGCTCCAAGACCTCGTCGCCCAGGAGCCAGGCTTTTGCCTCCAAGGTCCCTTCGTTTTCCACCAGGCTTCCGTCAGCCAGCCGGAAGCTGTGGTACCCGACCGGGGCCTTGAGGACCGTCGTTTCCCCAAGCACCTTCCGAGGGAGCGTCGTGGCGCTGGCCCCTGAGTCGACCACGAAGTCGATACGGGTCCAGCCGTCGGTTCCTGCTCCGGGCTTCGTTCGGCCCTCTGAGCTGTTGGAGAAAGCGGCCAGGTTGCCGACACGGGCCTTCTTCCGCTTCTCCCGTCTCCGCTCCTTCTTGTGCTTGGCCTTCTTCTTGGCCGGGGTGACCTTGGTTTCTGACGGCGGCAGGAAGCTCCTCGTAAGGGTCCTCCTCGAGCAAGGCAGTCCTCGCGTGGCGGGACAGCGGTGCAGCCGCCATCTCGTGCTTAAGCTCTTTCTCGGTCAGGGGAAAGACCTGGGTCTTCCTCCCAGCCCCTGGCTGGTCGAAGCGACGCGCCCAGGTGAGCTGACGGGAGAGGTTGGACTTTGTCCTCTCCCTTTGGGTCTTTAAGCGGTGCTCTGCGGCACGCTTCCTGGACCTGTCCTTGAGGTAAGCAAGCCTGCCCCCCATCTGTTCCTTGTCGCGCTCCTGCCGGCTACTGTGGCCGGCCTTCTCTCCTTTCCTGGTGGCGCGCTGCTCCTCCTTTACGTTCCTGATCACGATGTCCAGCTCCTTGATCTCGGCGGCGGTCACTTCACGCGCAGGGTCGCCCTCGGGAAGGTCGTCAAGGGCTTTGTTCAGGTCTTCCCTGCGGGCCACACGGGCGCTCAGCATCTCGCCCAAGAGCACCGAGCGAGACGCCTTTGACACGCTGTACGCCGGGGCCTGCGTCGAAGACGACGCTAGGCCTCCTTGCTTCGCCCGAAGGTGCGGAGGAACGTACTTCCCGGAAGCTTTCGGCTCCGGTTCCTTCGCTGTGCCGCCTTCGGAGACCCCTGCCTCGGCTTCTTGTGTGGCGGGACGAACTTCTCGGGAGCTTTCGGCTCCGGCTCTTTGTCGTCCTTCACCCGGCGTGGGGTGTCCTTTACCCAAAATTCCCACGCAGCCTTGGGCCTCCAAGCGAGGCCTTCGGTGGAGTCTTGGGTTGCGGCGGCGTCTTAGGTTGAGGTATCTCTCTGCCTCATCCTTTGTCTCCTGGGCCGAGCGACGGCGTGGCAGAGGCGAGCGGCCACGAGCTGAGGCTTTGGGCGGTGGCCCGGTGGCTCTGCAGGCCTTGTCCCCTTAGGGTCCACCGCACCCGACTTGGCACGCAACTCCCGCCTGTGCGGTGGGATGTAAACCTGTCTGCTGGACCTAGGTGCCGCAGGTAGGCTCTCCTCCGACGGAGAAGTGCGTCGAGACTTCTTTGCCCTTCGTGGCGACGGTGGGCTTTCCTCTGGTACTGGTGAAGTGCCTCGAGACTTCTTTTCCTTCGAGGCTCCTTGACCATAGCGGTGGCTGCGGAGGTCGCCTTCGGGCTCCACCCTGGCAAAATTGCCCTTGAGGGTCTTTCTTTGGCCGCTTGTTCGCCGGGCGTCCTCCCAAGCGCTGCCCTCAGGATCCTCAGCCTTCTCTTCCGGCTGGACCTCTACCTCCTCCTCCTCCTCGTCGCCCGAGCTTTCCTCGGAGTCGCCAGACTCCTCTTCGGAAGCCTCTGGCTCAGGAAGGTGTTTGGAGTAGTCGGGCTCTTAGGGTGTCCTTCAGAACCCACCTTGGACCACTGGGCGTTGAACCTCTTTTTCTGCCCTTTGCATATGGGGCGGGGCACCAGTAGATGGTCTCTCCGGTGTTCTCCTTGCCCACGGCGCACTGTGCCAAAGCAACCTCCCAAGGCTGAGACCAGGCCCACGAAGACGGGCCAAAGGCAGGACGACAGATCTGCCCTTTGGCCGGCGCCGGTAAGCTCAGTGTCGAGTCGACACTTGGCCCCAGGACGCGCAAAAGGCCGAGCTCTCCGTCGCCGGTCTCCTCTTCTGGCCATTCTTCCCCTGGCCACCCTGGTCCTCGGCCCCTTCGCCCTCAAAGGCATGGGCCTTTCCTTTCTTACCACCCTTACCGCCTCGGCCGGTTTTGCCGCCTTTTCCTCCTTTTCCCTTCGGCGGTTTTCCTCCTTTGGTCTCTTTGGCTGGCCGCTGGCGGTTGGCCGGTTCCACCGTTCGCCTTGTCCGGGTTGCCACCACCCTTGGGCTGCTCGGTCTTGCCTGCGCCCTTGGCAGGGGACTGGGAGCTGAAACAGCTCTCGAACTTGTAGCTCCAGGTCTTCCAGACCTTCCGCGCGTCCTCGTGGGGTCCTTTAAGCATCTCTGGCTTTCCCACGCCCTTGATGTCCACGACGCTGCTCTTCTTCGCCAGCGACTCAAGGGTCTTAGTCTGGGCCTCCACACAAGCTCGGCACGCGACGGCCTGCTCGCGCATGGCCGCTTCAAGTAGCTCAAACCTCCGGTTGGCATCCGCGCTCATCTGGATCATCCCAGCTTGCATCTGCTGCAGAATCTGACCCAAGAGCATCTCAGCACTCCCTGGACCTCCGGCCGTGGGGCTACCTCCAGGAGAAGACATCTCTTCACTGGTTCTTGTAGAACCGGGACAGCCGGCCCAGCACCGGGCCCGAACGCCCTTGCAGGTACTGGCCTACAGTGGCCCAAAGCCTCTGCAACCTCCTCAGCCTCCAAAGGTAACGAAGGAGGTGGACCCACCTAAGCCTGGCCCGAGCTGATGCAGCTCTGAGCCGAAGCCGTTCCAGGATCCAAGCGGCTATCCCCTATCTCCTCGTAGGAACCACCACAGACCACGAAGCACTGCTTTCCGCTCTTCTGCGGTTCCAGCACTCCGCTACCATGCAGCGGACTTTTAGGCTCGCGGGGCCTTGCTACGGTAAGCCAAAAAGGGCTACGGGTGACACAGACTACCACTACACTGAACAGACAAAACAAGGCCTGTACTTTCCTACATGGCCCCATAACCCTCAAAATAATAGGCTTCATACAAGGAACCCCAGTATAACTTCAGTTCCTACTACAAAATGGGGGTTTCCGAAAACAGGGCTAAATAGTAGGATCCTTATTATAAGGACCCCAAAATAAGTTCCCCCTTATTTCCGGAAACGCCCAAATCGTGCAGCCTCTTCCGGGTCCGAGCTCTCCGCCATGTTCGCGGAGAAGAAAAGCGGCAGAACTCGCGACACACGCTCGGCAATAACCTGGCAGAGAACACAGCAATACTGAATCCAGGAATAGAGGTTATAACCCTAAACCCTAAACCCTATAAACCCTAATTAAACCCCTAAACCCTAAACCCTAAACCCCATGGGGTCTCTAACTAGAAGGGTGTTGAAAACTACATTGCATTAAAGATCCTACTACCTTGCCTGGCCTGATCCTCGTTAAGGGCCCTGGGTTCTTGTGGGTCTGAAGGAAGCTGCTGGGAGGATCATGGGACTTAGTAAGTAAGGTTATAAGTACCCTTATGGGGGTCATAATTATAGTTACCTTATTTATAACCTTAGTTACTAAGTCCCATGATCCTCCAAGTAGGTTCGCTTCAGGATGGTCTTCTTGATAGGATTCTCAATCTTTTGCATAGCAGCACACGGTGATAACCTCACTATCGGCTCCTGTGATGTCTGCTAGCAATGCAAGGCCCATCCGTCCCCTGATCTGTCCTGCGATGATATTAATGGTTACAGATCCCACAGAACCTTAGGAACCCTACCTCCGAAATGAACGTCCAGGATCCCAAATTGCCATCTTGCGGGATCCTAAATCTCACAACACTTCAGGGATCCTGCATCCTAAACTTAGAGGAACCTCGATCCCTTAAGGGAACTTGAGAAGGACCATAAGTTGCGGGATGAGTTTAGAAGCCAAGGCCTTAAACCTAAACCCTAAACCCTAAATCCTAAACCCTAAACCATACATCCTAAACCCTAAACCCTAAACCCTGAAACCCTAAACCCAAAACCCCCTAACACCCCTAAAACCCCCTCAGCCTCGCCGTGCTCTCCGTGTCCATCGCAAGCGATGCCTTCCAAAAAGGATCCGTCTACCCGAAAAAAAGGGCTTGGGGGATTTAGTTTGGTTTTTTTTTGGGGGGGTAGTTTAGGGGCTTTGGGGGATTTAGTTTAGGGGTTTGTGGGGGATTTAGTTTCGGGGTTTTGGGGGGATTTAGTTTAGGGGTTTTGGGGGGATTTAGTTTAGGGTTTTTTGGGGGATTTAGTTTAGGGGTTTGTGGGGGATTTAGTTTAGGGGTTTGGGGGGGATTTAGTTTAAGGGTTTGGGGGGTTTAGTTTAGGGCTTTTGGGGGATTTAGTTCAGGGGTTTGGGGGATTTAGTTTAGGGGTTCTGGGGGGATTTAGTTTAAGGGTTTTGGGGGATTTAGTTTAGGTCTTTTGGAGGCTTTAGTTTAGGGGCTTGGGGGTTTAGGAGTTTCAAGGATTTTAGGATGAGGTCTCTTCAAGTTGCTAAACGGGCTCTGTGGGAGGGGGTGGTTTAAGGTGTACAAGAATACTACTCGCAAGAAGGGACTTCTGGGAATGGGATTCCTGTCAGGGCTCCATAAAATGGGTGGCTTTACTCGATGTCGTGAGACATATTACGCTGGTACAAGCTTCTCTTTACATGGGGGATGTACGCTGAGAACGCTGCTTACCCCGAAACCCTAACCCCTAAACCCCTAACCCCTAACCCCTAAACCCTAAACCCTAAACCCTAAACCCTAAACCCCTAAACCCTAAACCCCTAACGACGTATGCCGAGGCCTGGCTCTAAGGGCCGGAGATGTTGGGGGTCTTGGGCCTAGAGCTCCGGGTTTCTAGGGTTTAGGGTTTAGGGTTTGGGGTTTAGGGTTTAGGGTCTTGGGCCTAGAGCTCCGGGTTTCTAAGATACAGCCCTGGTTATAGGCCGAGCCCCCGTTTATTCAAGGCCTGCACATGGGTAGTTTTCTAAATTCGGGTCCGCTATTAGGTCCCCAATATAGTACGGCACCCTTATAGAAAGGACCCTAAACGGGACCCTAATTTAGAGAACTACCCACATGAGGATCTCTGTTGTATGGCTTTTTCAAGGAGCAGGGGGTTCTGAATCGGATAACAGTACACTAGTTTCAACTAAAGGGCCTTGGACCCACAGCCACAAAGCCCTGAACCCTAAACCCGGAACCCTGTTGCTGGGGCGAGGGCTCAAGATCCAACCATGATCCAGGAAGGTGAAGGAGTAGGCGTCCTGTTGCTCAGAGCTTGGGTTCTATAGTGCTTCGGGTTTAGGTTCAAGGCTTAAGGTTTTGGGCTCAAGTTCCTGCAGCCACTGCCGGCTCATCGGATTAAGTCGCTAGTACGTCACAAAGGAACGAGACTGCCTAAACCCTACACCGGAAAGCCTAAACAGGAATTCGGGGGCAGTTCGACTTTAAGACCTCCCTGAGTCTTCGCGATTTAAACGATTGTGCCTGGCATGCCCGACGATCTCCAAATCCCAACATGTGCCCCTCTGCGAGTTTAGTGCTTCGCATTTCGGGGTTCTCAATTTAGGAAAATAACATGTGCACAGGTGGTTGGAAGTGGTGCCGCAAGTGAAAACCCTTAACCTGCCGTCACAACAGCTGCCTTGCCTTTCACTCTTCTCATAAGATCCTAAAGTCTAGAAACTAGCAGCTTGGGGCCCCTACTTCAAAAGGGTAGAACCCAACACTGGTGAGTGGTCAGTCGGAATGTCTCGAATGTCTCCACGACGCCACCGATAAAGAAATAGAGGTGTCCACAACTTCGTACACTTCGCTCTCAATTTCGCCTCCCTACTAAACCCTAAACCCTAAATTTTGGTGGTTTGGCAGGTCACGTGGGTCACTTCGAAATTTAGCCAGCGAGCCTCTTGTCCTGTGCCTGAAAGCCCAAGACTTCCACAACCCTAAACCCTAAACCCCAAAACCCCAAAACCCCAAAACCCTAAACCCTAAACCCCTAAACCCCTAAACCGCAAAACCCTAAACCCTCAACCCCAAACCCTAAACCTCACCCTAAACCCTAAGCCGCAGCCCTAGAACCCAGAGTCTTCTGCAGCCACGGCAGAAAACCGATAGGGCAAATACGAGACAAGCTCTGGATCTGAAGCCCTAAACCCTAGAAGCCCTAAAAGAGGGGTTTAGGGGTTTAGGGTTTAGGGTCTTAGGGTTTAGGGTTTAGGGTTTAGGGTTTAGGGGTTTAGGGTTTAGGGTCTATCAAAAACTCAACGACGAACCTCTGCCCACCCTAAACCCTCACAGAACCCCCCGTCCTGGTTCGGAGACCCACCCGACTTCATACCTCGGTGAGCCGTGGGCCCAAGCTGAACGGCTTTGGGTGAGGGCTTTAGGACTTTCGGGGCGAGTTTAGGGTTCGAGAGCTCGAGGGGTAGTCTTCGATCCAAACTCGGACCGCCTTGCGTGGCCGGGGTGTTCCCAACTGTGATCTGCTTAGGGTCTTGACCGCGCCCTAAGTCTAAGATAGCCCACTGCCCTAAAGCGTGCAATGCCTTGTCCACCGCATTGAGCCGCTTGCCACCGCTTGCCAGCCAGGAACAGATACTATACAACTCCAACTGGGATACATGAGTACTTTTGGTGTGCCGGTGTTAGGGTTTATGTCTTCCAAAGCCTAGTCGCATTTTTCAGGCCCCTATAAACCGTATAAATGCTGTACAAAACCTGAACCCTCGTCGAGTTATTTCTGAAACCCTTGTAAGACTCTGCATGAAATCCTTATGCAACCCTCCCGTCTTCGGGAGAACGCAGGCTCCATACCCTGCTCTGCTTAGCAAAGCCTAAACCCTAAACCCTAAACCCTAAACGGCCCTACATAATTCAGCGTTTGGGGGATCCTCCCTGAGTGAGCGGCCGCTCGTCGAGACAAAGTGAGCCTCGAAGGAAGGGCTCTTTGAAAGGGTTTTCTTTTTTAAGAGTTGCGAGAGGTCCTTGTGCGACAGTGGCCTTGGGAATTAACATAACGCTAGATAATCCTTCTTCTGCTTGTTCTATGACTCTCCTGCCTATAGGCTACATGACTTTTTAACAGCCAGAATGATTAGTCTACGGCTTTGGGGGCTCTATACTGGGACAACTTGAAGGAAGACTGTCTTGAATCAGGCCTCTGCAGCTCAGGGATGCCTAAACTTAGGCGATTTCTGGTATGGCTTTGTTCCAGGGCCTGGTGGACGAAGATGGCCCGAACAACTTCGACCAGAGGCTTGCGAAGTAGCGAAACCCTAAACCCTAAACCCTAAACCCCTAAACCCTAAACCCCTAAACCCTAAACCCTAAACCCCACTTGCAGGGCCCAGATCCGATTTTGCATGTTCTGCGCACTCGAACTACGCGAGAGTAGAACCAGTAATGGCACAGTTTGCAGAGGAATGAAGCCACCAGCAGCTGCCTAGACTCCTATGATATAGGCTCCTTAAGAATTACCTATACAATTTCGGAGGTTCTTTATTAAAACTATAGCATACTATAGTCTGATATACACCAAAAGCCCTATTCTTCTTGATTTCTTATAGAACCTTTTATGGATCCCTCAAACTAGTACAGGTAAC